CTAATACTCTTTCCACATAATCACAGGTTGCTTCTTTGTGTTCATTTTTAATATAATTTTTATTTTTATTTTTATTTTATTTTGTATATATTTGATTTGTTAGCTAATAACTTGTTTTTCGAGACCTTTTCATCATAAATTTATACTATACATTTTTTCCTACTATTCTGCAATTCACTTCTTTTGTTGTTAATTACTTTTGCTGTTGTGGAACTCGAGCTCGTTTAACGCGTTCAGTCAGTCGCTTCTTTGGCTCAACATGCGAATTAGACTCATTTTCTGCGGCTTGCCAAAATATTTTGGCATGATCGCATTACATATGCGTACCGGATTTAAGTAGCTTTTTATATATTATTATTACTATTATTATATTTATATGTCTATATTTTATTTTATTTTATTTTTTGTTTTTGTTGTTTATTGCCGAAATGTTCGGTGTGTCGATTCATCTCAACATTTACCATATTGCGATACTACAGTTGTAGTATATGTGTTAGCAAATTTTCCGTTCACAATTGAGTCATTAAACTCAGCCTTTTGAGTTTTGTAATAAATAATTACTATATATGCATATTAAAATATATTTACACATAAGTAATAATATCTATATTTTACATACATTTCAGTGTATTCTCTCTTCTTCCTTATAGTTTATAATAAGAAACGATACTTATCATCATTCCATGATATAATAATACCATAAAGCTATAACAAATAAACTTTTTTCTGATTTCTTCTTCTTTGTTCCGTTAACTCGCAGTGTGTGGAGCATAGGACCTCAACAATTCCTCTGAACCGTATTCTATTTGGAACAGCCGTGTAAATGTCGTTCCATGAGTAGCGCGCTGATGTTAATTCGGCATCAATTGTCCTTCGCCATGTTCTTGAAGGAGCGCCAGACCGGCGACTACTCTGCGGGTTCCATTTTAGGGCTTGCTTAGCGATACAGGAATTCGACTTGCGTAGTGTATGTCCGATCCATTACCATTTTCGTTATTTTGATTTCGCTCTCGACGCTTTGCACATTTGCTCTCTTCCACAATTCTGCATTGGAGATGCGTTCTGGCCACCATATTTTAAGTATGACTTAAATTTTGTCTGACTTAAACAGTATAAATTTTAGAAATGATTCCTTAGCCCAACAACCCAACCATCATATTATAAGAGGAGGTAAGTACGAGTCTATAGAACATGTGATCATTATCTGTGTTTCACTAAGCCACACAAAAAAAACTAAGAAAACACAAAAAATTTTAGGTGCATACCAACTTCCTCCGAAGGAACTGCTTCGATTCCCCGAGATACTAAATACAAATGGCAAAGGAATGCACAATAGATCAAACTGGTCGCAGTGCATAAAGGCCTTAGCCCAACACAAACCATTACCATTACTATTAGAGGAGGTAAAATCATGTTTAATATAAAATGAGATACAAAGCCAGTGTCAAAGCAAAGTCCAAAATCCTTTAGAATAAAGTTTATCTTAAATATCTTTAGTATTTAAAAAACACTTCATCTTTAAATAATATACTTCATCAGATAGCTTACTTAAAAAACAAAAATACTTTGCAAAATAAATACAAAAAAATCTTTGAAATAAAATATTCATATAATCATAAAGTATTAACATCCTATGAACAGGATATTACCTGTTGAAAGATGAAGTAAAAAAAGGTAGCCAGAAAATATAATGAACGAAGAAAGATTCATCTCAAGAATCTGCTTCATTCCATATCTTTTCTGATCTTTCTGAGCTTTTCTGATCAAAAGAATGTAAATAGTCTTATGAGAGACGGCCCATTTTCAATATTAACCCAGATAGAGGGTGTCAACGAAAAGTCTACCCAAATAAAAATCAAATAATTTAATCACCTCACGTCTTCATATTAAATATATCAAAAACTAAACTATATTAACACACAGCGTAATGGAAATGGTTGGTTGGTAGCAGTAACAGACCAGCAAATAACCTTTTATTGACTTTATTTACCGATTCCTCACAAAAAAACCATAAGATAGAAAGATACAGATTAAAGCAATTCTGTCGAATTTACACAATTTAATAGGTCTTTCTTTACCAATAAACAGTCCGATAAGCTTTCAAAAAAGTACTTCCCGAAATGGGTACTCAAAATAGCTATTATTACTACAATGCGTTGTGAAATGGGCTAGCCTGGGACGTCGAAATTGTGTCACATTTTTCTACCTATACTCGGTATATTCTCACAGAGAGTATCGTATGGAAATAACAGCATTTTAAATGTGAAGAAAATGGATTCAGTTGAGAAGATTTCAAACATTCGAAAAAACGAGTATGCTAAACTTCTATAATATATATAAACATGTACGCATTTATATATATGTATATACTTTAAGCATTAGAGAGAACACTACAATAAAATGAAAAAAATGATTTTCAGATTTATCTAATTGCAGAAAATCACAAAAAATTTTTGAAACACATTCAGTCAAGTGAGTTCAATTTAAAAATCTTTAAACTTTCACTTGGATCAAATAAGAAATGGTTGGGAAAATTTTTTTAAACTTGTCAATAATGTAGCAGATAGGGTTTGTCAAATCTTAACAGATCAGATAGCAGATTGCTTATCAATTATCTTTGCTATAATCCATATAAAATTTTAATTATTGTTAATACTACATATCTAATTTGAATATGGTTTCAATTAGAAACGAAATATCCTAATTAATATGGAATTTAATATAAAAGCAGCTAACGTTTTACCATTCGTCATTTAATAAACTGATTTAAACACTCGTAATACGTGAAACTAATATCACCTAATCACCTAATAGAAACCATCTACTTTTCTTACAAATTGAATAAATATCTACAATGGTACCAATGACCACTTGAGATAAAACTAAAAAAATACAACAGGAAAAACTAATGAAAACACTAAGTCTCTACCGACTCTGCTTAGAAATGAATGAAACTTCCAGTCGCATTCTCTGTGACTGCCCAGTCTTGATCTGGGTCAGGAGTAGGTAACTGGATGGAGAACTATTCTCCCCTTTTGACATTAGGAAGACCTCAACGGCTGACATTCTGGTTTTCATTCGGAACGCGAAATGTCTTCTGTTTGGTTAACATCTGTTGCAGCACAAAAGATCGACCATAATCGCAGTGCTCCGCTTTGTTGGAGCTGGTACCTTGTTTATTTCTATTCTATTCTATTCTATTCTATTCTATTCTATTCTATTCTATTCTATTCTATTCTATTCTATTCTATTCTAAGTGTCTACCGAGTCAAAATAATTTGTGTGATTTCTTAAAATACACAGATATGAGTATTACAAAAAAATAATAATTCTGTTAGAATTATTATAAACCCACTGATAATTTATATACAGAAATGTTCCGCACAATACAATTAAAGTACATAGCATGAATGAATTAGTAGGCACTTATGGTATATAGGTATATTATAAAACAATGTCCAACTTCAAATACAAAGAAAAATCTCTGAATTTACGTTACCTATCAGAACTTTCTGAATGGCGAGAGTCAGTAGGAGAAAAGCAAAGGTTTTTAATTTTTTTTTTCAATTGTTTATATAAATATTCTCTGGGTTTTATGTTTTATGCATGAGAAGAAAATTAATTAAGTTTTATTTAAAATTTATATGTGTCTTTGTATGTGATTCAGAAAGCATTCAGTTTAAATAAAAATAATAACGATTTTCCAATAATCTGTTTTACGACTAAATTCCTACAGCTGTCAACTAATAGTCATCAAATACCGGACATTTATTTGTTTATTTAAAGTTATATTCGAATTGCGTAATTAAATATCATATTATTATTGTTATAAACAACAAAGTGAAGAAGCCCTGATTGAATGAAGTATTTAAAATTGTTTATTAGTACCAAACAATAGGTTGTTAAATAAGAACTAATAGACTGGATTAAGTATTTAATACCAGTATTTTTGTGACTATAATTTTAATGAAAGACTGCCTATACTCAAAGTAGCATAGCATTGCTAAATGTCCTCAAAACCCCTCTTTATCTAATGTA